CTTTGATTCCGACAAAACTGAAAAATCTGCAGCATTCCTGCCCATGAACAATCTCGCTCCATGGTTGATCTATCTGAACAGTTAGATTGTGCTCAGACTTTGAAACCACTCAGTGATAGTTTAAAAAAAACCATCTGTTCTTCCACATCTCTCTGGTTTCCCTGGACAGCATCAGAAAAATGAGCCCCATTTCTCAGCAAGGCCTGTAGATATCACAGAACCATATCGTTAACGATAATCAGTTTTCTGGTATATAACATACTGTAACAGTAGAACCAAAAAAAAATAAAAAATGCTATTGGATCAGATTTGATTTTCCAGGAAACAAAGTTTCAGGTGTATCATCAGTTCTCTCTCTTCCTCGTTTCTCATCCACAATAGGAGTAAAAAGAGAAATCACTTCAGCTGCCCAGACATCTAACAGTAAACTATTTTTCTATTTCCTTTTCTCTCTGTATGGATCACATATCCACAAGGGCTAATATATCACGTCCCTTGAGGCTACATTTCTGTCTGCAGTTCTAAAGTGTTATTTCCACTGTGCTTCAGTTCTACTGGTATAATCACAACCATGTATAATGTACTTAATCCTTACTTTTTAAATAAACCATTTTAAATGTATCTGGGTTTGTGTGGAGAAAGGTATATAGATTTTTAATTTCCAGATTCTCTGAGCTGAGATTTCTGTGTTTATGTTTTCACGTTTCTCCCTGTTTGATTGCAGCTGCTCATGTTACTGGAAGCCAATATATGGGAGGAGATAGAACTATTCTTGTGGTCCCACAGAATCTCCAAGATAAGCTATCCTCACAATATTTCCAGTTAGTTGGGTTGGGAACTAAGAAAGACTTTCTAGTTTCCAGCTTCAGTTCCCATTTTGAGCCTGGTGTGGTGGCCAGAAGCCACTGCAAACCACCATTGAGAAAAACAACCTGGTGTCCTCTGAGGTGCTCACCCTGAGCCTGTGCTTTCTTTCAGCTTTTGAGGTTTCATATGAACTCACCTCCAAGCATCCTCCTTTCCCCTGACCTTGCCCATTTTGCCTGAAGGAAGCCTGACCCCACATGCTGAAGCTCCCACAGCCTTGCTCTGATCACCACCCCAAAATCCTGGTGAGACGAGTGGTGCAGAACACAGGGCAGCAGTTCAGCAGCCTCTCCCTGCTCCCAGACATCCCGAGCCGTCCCTGTATATACAGGCAATATTTCTTCTTCAAATCCTTCTTTTAACTTTACCTCCCAGCTCCTCAGCCTCCAGACTGTCTCTAAAGATGAAGACTGCCCGTGTGTCTCCATCCGCCTCTCCCGGCCGTGTGATGAATTGGCACGTCTGGAGGGAGGCAGGGGATTCATCTTTTCAAATGCCTCTGACACACGGCAGAGAAGCCCTTTAAAGCTCGAGCCCAAAGCTGGTTCCCCTGGACTGAAACAAATAAAGGCTTTTCCCACATTGTTGAGCAAGTCCATGGGTAAGTGGTGACCCCAGGAGCTGAGGCTGCCCTGCTGTGAACGGGGCTGTATCAAAAAGCGGTGTTTGGGGTGGGGGGAAGTAAAGACAGAGTCCTTAAAGCTTTGGAAAAAGAGTCCAGCGAGGAGGATGTGGCATTACCTTGGAATGAGAAAAGTAACAGACATGGGCGGTGCTGAAAATAAAAGGGAATGGAGAGGCTCTGCACCTGTCTGCAACCGGGCTCAGCTTACAGCCCCGCTGCCGCCCTTCCCCAGAGCCAGGGGATCGCTTCCCAGAACGGCACACCCGGCACGGCGGCGGTATTTTGGGAGAAGGGAGCTTGGATCAGTCACACGGGTTGACCAGCCCTGCCTGTGCCCCGTAGGGAAGAGACTGGGCTGCGAACAGCAGGGTGGGGGTCTGTTAAAAAATAAAATACCCGACCAAAACACGCACTCACACATTTTGCTGTTGCCTTCAGAGCTGGCAGGATTTCAGCCCCAGAATCAGGGAGCTTTTAGAGGGTGCTGTTGGTGCCGTTGCCGAGTATTGGCCACGCAGAGCCCATGATGATCCCGGTGGTCTCACCCCACTGGGGCAATGCAGGCTGAGGAGCCCAAATATTTTCCTATTGGAAAAAAGCTGTTTGCTGAACTCGCATTTGAGCTGGGAGCAGACTAGCTGCCGGCTCCCCCTCTCTGGGTTATTCTCACCTGCGAAGGGTCTTCTGCAGAACATCATTCTGCCAGCAGGGAACCACAGACTGCAAGTGCTGGGGAGCAGAGCCAAGCCACCACCTCTGCCAGGGAAAACACAACACATAGTTGGGCTTCAGGCACCTCCTTTGGCATTTTCTCCAGTAGAGAAAGAGAATCATGTCCCTCACTCACCGCTGCTAAAGTGCAACTAATTACAACCCTTCTGCTTCCCAGCAGGTCCTCATTAATAGTCTGTTTATATTTCATGTGATATTGATTTTTAAATGTGAATACTTGCCACCTGACAGAGGGAGACTGTGTCCTTTTCTCCTCCAGAAATCCTTTTGCTGCTGCATTTGTCAGGTGCCCACCTGCCCCATGGAGCCCCTGAAGCCCCAGGGAAGGCAACTTCACCTCCACACTAGGGCAGAAGTTCCCAGGTTGGGGACAGAGGCTCAGCCCAAGGGCAGAAGAGTCTTTTGGCTCTCATCCAGGGGGTTGATCACCAAAAACCTGCCAGAAGCCCCCAAAAATACACGGAGCCTGTGCTGGGAGGAGGCAACAGCAGCGTCCTCACAATGGGGCTGCATCAGCTGATGTAGCTAACCCACAGAGCCCATGGGGAGCAATAACCCACAAAACACTTTTTTTCCCATGGATTGTCAGCTCTAGGTCGTTTTTTGAGGGATGGGGACAATATCTGACCTCAGCTGCAGCAGTGTGAGCTTTTAGTGCCCAGGAAAGCCACTGTTCCTCATGCTGGGGCTCATCAAAGTTCATTCACACTCCCAGCTCCACTCATCAGGAAGGAAGGATGAATTTTTCCCTTCTGATTTCACCTTAGTCATTTCCTGGAAATTAGGAAACTCAAAACAAAACCAAAACCGTAGAACTTATCCAGATTGAAAGACCTAAATGAGAACAAAAAGCATGATTCTTGCCAACACTGGAAGAGACACAGAGACCAACACCAGCGAAGAAATTAATGAGTTCCCACCCTCCTGTCCTTGTAGGTTGTAATTAGTCTAAAGCAGGATCATTAGCACTTGCTTCCTCAGCAACCAGAACCTCACTTTGTGCCCACATTTGCAAACACACCTTCACTTCCCTCTGTTCCACCTGTGGAGTTTGGAGAATCAAGGAAGCGAAGTGGGGATGCAGCTCCCGAGGCCGACTGATGTCTAGTGAAATTTAACAAGAGCCTTCTTCAAAGGAAAAGGCATCACATCTTTAATGCATTCCTTTGCTGGTTTAAAGCCTGCTCCCTTTAGGTTTCTCTGTTTCATGAGAACTCTTGGTTCTGGTTTAAATGTAATCCTCTCATATCTCTGCCAGCCCCAGCATGGATGTGCCTGTGGTCTCTGGTCCCCGCCTTGCTCCATGTCCCCTCTGTCCTCCCTGGTCCCTGTCCCCTTCCCCTCCAATTTTGCACCACACACCTTCAATCCTCCCCGTGGTTCCCACATTCCCATGAGGAATGGGTCACCAGATGCCATCTCGGGTTCAGACATGTCCCCTGCTCCCCAGGGGTGTCTGAGTCAGCCCTGTCACACATCAAGCAGAGTAACATTAGCCCCTTTTAAGCCATATTTCAATTACAGTTATTTTGGATCAACATTTTTTGGCTTACTCTTTATTTTCCCTCCTTTCCCACACTCTCCTCACACCTCAACTCCTTGCTCCACATTGTCCTCATCAATTTGAGCTGACACCCCTGCACCTTTATTTTGACATCAAACTGGGGTGTTAATAAAGCAGGACTGGAGTAGCTCTGACATTATCTTGACACAATGATATTTGCAGCTTTCCACTGGCATTTTTTTACCCGTTCTTTAACATTCAGGTACTGTCACCCTCCTCAGTTTGACATCACAATTGTAATGTCGCCTCCACAGTGGCCTCTGCACTGACATTATCATCAAATTAGCTTTACAATCAGTTGGAGTATCAAAGGGAAGGAGAGAAGCTGGTCCCAGGAATCTGGACTCAGGGAAGTCACTTCTGGAAGAAGGAAAGGGCATGTTAGGTGGCTGCCGGAGTTACAGTAGGCATCGAGAGGAAGCTGGCTGGTGAGAAAGCAAAGAGTACTCAAGGTTTTGCATTAGAAAAAATAGGAAAGAAAAAAAGACACCAACCCCCCCCCAAAAAAAAAAAAAAACAAAAAAAACAAACAAACAAAAAACCACAAACAAACAACAAAAAAAAAGGCAAAAAAAGCCCAAGGAAAGACTACAAAAAAACATCCCCAACTACTCAGAATAGTTCAGGTTAATTAAAAATATTATTACAAAAAATAAACCAGAAATAATTATAACAAAAATCAATGCTAAAATAAACAAGTTGCCTTATTTTGCCATTTTCTGCCGCAGTTCTGGGCTCTGGAGGGACATCCAGCTCCGAGCTCCATGCAGGGGCCACTGCGAGCCGCAGGCGTGGGCGTGCAGCACGAGGGCTCCGGGGCTATTAAACTGTTTAGGATCAGCCTGAGCTCAGGCCCGGCACTATTATAAACACAGATATTTTTATAACCTCACTGAAAAGTTAATGGTCCCATTAATGCCTATTTCTGGGCATGCTGCAAGTCAAGACATCGCAGCCCCTGAGCGGCGGCCGCTGTGCTGAGCGCCCGGCCGTGGGAATCCGAATCCCAAACAATCCGGGCGGGATGGGGCCGAAAGCTGAGCTGTGCGTGAGGAGCCTCCCGGGCACCGGCTGACACAGCCCAGCAGCTGCCTGCGGCCGCCCCGCTCTCCCCGGAGCTGACATTTCCAAACACGCTCAGATGTGCCAGGATTTCGGGAGACCTCTCGAACCGCCCGCCGCGCTCCGCCGGGAGCGCCGCTCCGGAGCGGGATGGACGACAGCAAACCCCTGAAGGTGCGGCTGACGTTCTCCGTCATCCTGGTGGGCATCTCGCTGCTCTTCGCAGCCGTAGTGTCGGACCACTGGGCCGTGCTCAGCCCCAAGGTGGAGGAGTTCAACGCCACCTGCGAGGCCGCTCATTTCGGGCTATGGCGGCTCTGCACAAAGCGGATTTACGTGCAGGAGCAAGGCCCCAAGGAGAAGGGCTGCGGGCCCATCAGCCTGCCAGGAGGTAAGTGAGCACCCACCCGTGCATGGGAGAAAGCACCAGGCACTCAGGCCAGGCTTTGCTTAGGGCATGGCAGAAGGAAAACAGGCTCCGTGTCCTGTGGCACTTCATTCGGGATGGGGCTCGGCCCTTAGTTTGGGATGGGGCTGTTTTGGTGCTGCTCTGCAAACACAGCCCATTGCCATCCCTCCTGCCAGTGTGTGCTGGCTTTCCTTGCACATCTGTTTGTGACCATATTTGAGTCTCCTGACAGCAGCGGGGAGAAGGGGAGGAGGATCAGGCACGGTGGAAATCACAAAAGGGAAATGGGGATGGAGGGAATTTGGTTGAACCCCAGCCAAGGGCCCTGCAGCACCCAGATACGCTGACAGCAGCGGGCAAGAGAGAGGATTTATGGGCCCACCAAACACAGCTGGATCTGTAGGATTTCCAGATCCACATAATCATGGAGGAACTGCCTGTTCACGGCGGGCATTGAGTTCTCTCTGAGCTATTCCAACAACGGCCGTTCCTCAGGGCAGGGAGGAACAGGGACCTGCAGCCTGGTTTGCCAACTTCCAGAAAAAAAAAAAAGTCATCAACTGAGTTTGAATCGATTTCTCAAGGACTTATGGAGCCTCCTCACCTCTCACTGGAGGCACCTGCTCCCACACACGTCTCCACCACGGGCACCTCCAGCCCAACCGATGGGGAGGGCAGCGGGCACGGCGGCTTTCCAGGAAGGCTGTTCCATTCCCATGGTTAAAGGAGCTCATTATGTTTTTGCTGATTGCCAAGTCAGCAACATTCACGCCGTTTGCACTAATACCCTCCCTCCGTGACTGAGCCACGCTGCTTTTTCAGAAGGCTTATAGGGGACTGGATGCTTTCCAGCACAGAAATATAACAGGATTGCCTTCGTGTTAGACTCGCTGCTTGAAATGAAATATATGTTAACACATATTTGAAAATTTCCTGTGAAAAATCTTCCTGCCTGGGCTGACTGTATATTCCCTGTATTACTGCAATTCTTTATCTCTTTGGTCCAAATTACGTGTTGGGAAGAGAGGAGCTCAGCCTCAGCGTGTGGATCTGCCTCTAACCAAACTTGGGAGTGTGTCATCCATATGCTTAATGTCTCTCACGAAGGTACTTACGTGCCTAAGAAACACATCCCTCGCTGAGCGCCTTCCCTCGCGCACGGAGAGCTCCCACGAAAGGAAAAACAACAGGAATTGGTGCATAAACAGCAAAATTGCACAACCGGGGGGCAAATATAAAGCTCATAAATATCCAGCTGTCTGCACAAAGCAGATTCGCAGGCAGGGCACAGGAAAGCAGCCACTATCTTTGACAGACATCAGCATGTGCTCGCACAGACGTTGAATCACATCCCAGCGCCGCATTCCGCCAGGCACAGAATAACTGGGAACGGTGGAGGGGCTGAGCTGCCCACCCCACACCGGGGCTGGCTCTCCAGCTTCTAAAGATATTTGGGAATTCGGGTGGCATTCGGCGCCGCAGTCACGTTTCAAAGGGTGAAATTCGCACCTCAATTATCCCATAAATATCTTTCTCCCTGTTTTCCTCGGGCGAGGAGCGGAGCAGGGGAGGGGGGGCTCGGGCTGCTGAGCGATGCTGCGGCCACACGGCCCGTGTTAGATTGATTTCACACTTCTGGGAAGGGATGTCAGCAGGGAAACACCAGGGTTGGGAAACCTGCAGCAGCGGAGAAAATGTGAATGAACAAACGCGCAGTGAAAGAGCAGATGTGGGCACTCCTTTTCCTGAAAATCATGAGACATAACCAGACATTACTGCCAGGACTGGGAAAGAAGCATCAGAATTTATCACTGAATTAATAACCATTTACCAGTCGCTCCCTGTGGAGGAAATGGATGGCATGATTAACGTTATTTATTAGGCTTTGAGCTCAGCACAGCGCAGAGTGGGGAGGGTGACTTGGCTCGCAGTCCACAAAGCCGGGCTGTGATTTAGGCAGAGCTTTAAAATTTTACAGCGCCTTTCCGAGGGTGTTGACAAATTGAAAAGGGTTCAGCATCCTGCTGTAACAAATAAAAAGATCAGGCTGTTAAAACCGGGCAAATTCAGATTAATACGGAGACATTTTTAACTGAGGTTGGTGGGCACGGGGGCATTTTATTACCAGCTGTAAACGGAGTTCAGTGTCACTGCCCGTAACTCCAGGTCTGTGCTGTCCTGCAAAGTGGGCTCCTGTGCTCTGGGCAGCAGCAGGGGCTGCTCAACAGCTTAAACAGGTCCTTGTAAATATGGGAACCTGAGTGCAGGCAAAGTGCTCAGCAAATGAGTTCTCAGCAGGGCTGTCTCGTTCCCGTGTCCGTACAAGAGGCTCACTCTGCAAGACAGGTGTGAAATTAAACTACTTGGAAATACCATCTCCAAAACTCTGTCTCTGTCAAAGGCCTTGTTGGCCAGGTCAGAGCCCAAGGCCTGACCCTCCCCACCCCTCTAAAACCTCCTCTAACTGCTGCAGCAGGTCCTGCCTCCCAAACTTAACACAAGTGGAAATCTCACACTAAAATCCAGGATTTTCTAACCATCCATCCTGCCACAAACCCACACATGCTGTGTCCATTTTAGGTACAAGGGCAAAGTGGGCTCCAGCCCCCTTCCAGCCTGTCATTCCTATGCTCACAGGGCACAGCTGCCACCTGAAATTCTGCGTGGCCCAAACATCTCATTGTCTTTCCACACTTTCTTCCCCCAAGGTTCAACCACAGTTCAATGGGATTGCACTTCCCCTGCATCCATGAGTGCATCCAGGAGAGGTTGGAGTTGAAAGAGAGATTGGTCCATTTGTCCCTGCACTCATCCAGGAGTGATGGATCTGAAGGGAAGGGAGCAGGAAGGCTGTGAGGGTGGGTGACCTGGAAGGGGCAGGATACTGTGTGATAAACCACGTTACAACCCTCAGAGCCCCTGGACTGTCCCCATGAGCAGTGGGGTGACCTCGTGGCAGAGATAATGCATTTGGGGTGCAGAGAAACAAAGATTGCCACAGAGCTTTCTTCCATTATCAAACCCAGTGTAAGTCCTGTCCATTATGCAAATGTGGTGTGACACAAATGGGCTTTTCTCTTATTCATGATGGCACCAGAGAGGCATTGCAGTGCCTCAGTTCTCCTGAATAACAGGAAGCCTTGTTGAAATGGATATTCCCAGCTCCACAGAGCATGGAAGCATCTTAAAACTGGAAACAATACACGTCACCAAAAACAATCTAGTCATACTTTCCCACAATAAACTAATCTTCCAAAAACACCTTCCCTAGAAATAAACCTCTCTTGTGATAACCCCTTTTATCATATCTTGGCAGAGCTTTGCTACAAGCCCCAAGAAGATGCAGCTTCATTTCCTGCAGACAAGTCCACCTCCAAAAGATGATTTATGAGGATGGAGGGTGGACTGGGCTGGTTTGGTTCACCAGCAATGGACACAGAGCTGTGCTGTGCTCCCCACCACACCATGTCTGGATGGCTTCACTTTGGGCTTTGCACTGCCTGGGGGCTCCTCGGAGTTCAGGCTTTTCAGAGGACTAATTAAAAGCCAAAACCAAACAATCCCAAAATAAAGTGCCCCAGTTTCATCCCATCTCCTTTCCATTTAGCACAGGAGCCAAATGCTCCCCAGACTGGGATCACCAGGCACAATGCTCAGACTTGGCCACCACTGAGGCACCGGCAGAGGCACAAAACCACTGCTTTGGGGCTCAAAGTTTGCCATTTCAGTCACAGAGGGCTCAGTTCAAATATATTTCCTCCAGTCGTTTGCACGGATAATAAAGAACAGGTCAGGAGATGCCAGAGCTAAACATTAACCTCGCCAGCAAGGAGGATGTGCAGATGAAATAAAAGGCAGCTTACAAAATTAAGTAGATAAGAGTGTCTCGAAGGAATCTTCCACTAACAGGCCCAAAAACACTGCTTTGCAATTGCCTTTCTCCTGGGAGAAGGAAAATGAATCCTCCTTGAGTCAGTAACTGCAGCATCTGCCATTTACATGACAGAAAAAAAACCACAAGAACCAACAGGTAAAATACAGTGCACTGGGATCTTCTGCTGGGGAAATTCATGCTGTAAATGAACACAGGCAGAAACCCAGAGGACTCCCTGTGGGGTCCAGCACCCAACTTGGCTCAGGCTTCCCCCACAACCTGTGCTGGAGGAAAGGACCACAACATCCCTGCAGACTTTCTCCCAGCTTGTCCTGGGAGCTGGTGCTAACTCCTGATAACCATTATTTAATGGATGAGATGCTGGCATTAACCAAGGCCCCTTGCTTGCCTGTGTTTCATGCAGCCTGGGGTGCCAGGGGGGTGCTGGGTGGGTGCTGAGCGTGTCCTCTCCAGCAGTCAGAGCTGGCGCCGCTCAGCGCGTCCCCACGGTTGTGCCCTCCCAGCCAAATTCCTGGCAAGCAACTGCTCTCCCAGCTCCACAGCCCTCCAAACCTTCAATTAAACCAGTTATAAATAGCCAGAACACCCTCCACCCCAACCCTGCTGCTGCCAAAGCTCCGAGTCAGCAGGTCCTCAGCAGACCCTTCCCATCCCGCTGAGGCTGAAGGTCTCCTGTGTATCCACTGGCAGCAGTGCCACTGCTCCACTGCTGACCCTCACTGGGCTGGGGAGGAACAAGGACTGTGGCCATGGAGAGACTCAGCCACCAACCTCCCTCCTCCCATATCCCCCTGTCCCACAATCTTCACCCCTGTTCACTTCATAGCCCTCCTGTAACACCCCTGGATTTGGCAGAGTGCTCGTGGGAATTCCAGAGAAAGGAACTTCATAAAGTCCCCTCTATCCACCTCTGCTGTCTTATCAAACTCACTTAATAGACTGCCCTGATGGGATCAAACTTCAGTGAAGCCTGACTGAACAAGAGCCTCTTTGCCCTTGGTTCATGCAGCCTTCCCTTCCCTGGACAACTGTTTGGGCTTCAGATAGCTTTGGTCTTTTTTTACTGTGCTCTTTTTTTACTGACAGCCAAAAAAAAAAAAAAAAAGGCCCTCAGCATCCCTATTTTAGTAAAACACCACGTGCTTTGCTGCATTGCAGCAGCCTCACCTCTGGGACCCCGATATGGTGGTGACATCCCACCCCATGCAACAAACCCCCCCCACTGCCCCACAGGGGTCTGTGAGCTGGGGGAGGGAAGAGCCAGGAGGGAGAAGGTGTATGAGGACACTTCATCCTCCCTTTTTGCACTCCAAGCTCACCACAGGAGGGTGATGCCACTGTGGATGAGCTGGCAGTGGTGAGGGGAGGTGAGCTGAGCTGCCAGCCAGCTGTGGGCACGGCAGGTCTCATCCCCAGGAAACACAGCAACACAGGGAGGTAGAAATGTGTGCTGGCCAAAGACAGAATGGGAAAAATTATCTGTAATTCATATTTTAAACAGATGAGCATTCAGTGTGCAAAGCTCAGGGAGGGAGCAGCCCACAAAAGGTATCAGAGGGGCTTCAGCCTGGCCCGAGCTGGAGTTGGTGTCCTGGCATGCCCGTGTCCTTATCTACTCCCAAGGAAATCAGATCCAACTCCAGCTTCTCAGCATCTCCAAGGGTAGCAAGGCTCAAAAACATTGCAAGTTTGATGCATCAATAAAAAACTAATTCAGTTTTACTACATTTTATCAGAGGCTTCCAAGTGCACAAAATTGAATTTCCTTTTCCCTTTCAGACCACAACTGCTCCTACTTCAAGCACTTCACTCCAGGAGAGACCTCAGAGATATTTGAAGTAACCACCCAGAAAGGTAAGAATAATTCCAAAAAAGTATTTTCCTAGTGTTGGATGAAGTGGAGGCCACAGAATATGAAAGGGAAAGGGGTCCCCAAAATGAAGGTTCAGCCCTGGTTTCACTGAAAGCAGCAGAGGAATTTCTATCAGACACCATCAGCTGGGAAAAATGTGGAAAATGCCCTGCACAAGGTCAAATCCCAGCTTCCTGGAAAGAATTATTTTTATATATGATCACACCCATAAACATGATTTTACATAAGTTGTCCCACAAATATATAACAACATCAATACTCAGGAAAACTGCAAAGAGTCTTTTCAGCACAAAAACGACTTTACAGCGTTGGCACTACCCGTGACACTCAGCCTTTGCCATGGAAGGGGAAGATATTAATAAACCCTAAATGAATAAATCATACCCCAAGCAGAGTGTTGACCCTGAAAAGAAGTGCAGAGGCTCTCTGAAGACCATTAGGAATTTTATGCTTCATATTGATTTTATATGAGAGTCATGTAAAAAAAGGAGCGATCGATGGACAGAAGGAACAGGGATCCTGCAAAGACACACACAGTGTTCACAGAAAAGTAGTCCTTCACAGACAAATTTCACATTTTTAGTAAGCCCCTGATATGGCCAAATATTTTGAGGGCTCCCCTAACGTGCTCCTCTCTCTTTCTCACCCTCTCATTGAGGACAAACCCCTTTCCACACATATACTGTGGAAAATATGAGCCCGTGGTTACATTACATGTACTAAACAATCTGCTCGGCTTCCAGTGGAAATTGTAATGGTGGGAAACCCTGGAAAAAGGTTTTTCTAAAAAAGGAGTTTCCTAAGACAGGAAAGATTGGGAAATTTAAGTGGATAGACGAGCATATATCAGAGCAGCCTGCTTTTGCTCACCTGTACTATCAGATCCAGCCACCTGATCTTAAAAATGCACCCAATGCCTTCACAGCATTGCAGAAAAAAATATCAGGAGAACTTCTTTTTCAGAAAAAAAAAAATAATCAGGAAGAACATGTTTTCTTTGGGGCAAAAGGAAAAGCTTAAGATTTTACATCGAAACAAACTCTTTCAGGCAGTTCCAGCACAGAGTAAAGAGAAACGTTAAGGAAATGATAATAAAACAGTGGGATGAAAAACAGTGAGAACAAAGAGTGATTTGCTGTTCCCCTTCACAGAAACAGCTCGTTTGGATGGGAGCTAATTAGGAACAGGCAAAAAAACTCTTCATGATTTTGCCTGGGAGATTATTTTTTTTAAATGCCTTGAAAGGCAAATATCATCAGGCACTGTGATGTTCACACATGGCTACATGTGTTAAATATTAAATTAATCTGAAAACGAATACAATATGCAAATGAAGGCCCGAATTATTCAATTAGCAATTCTCCCCCTCCATTCGGGCACTGAAGGTTTCTGGAGCTGGGGGAAGTGTCCAGAGTGTGGCTTTGCTGTCTTAGCAAAAACCAGGACTTTTTGGGAGGGTTTAATCCCATGCCCTGAAGAAGTTGGGTTTTCACAGAGCTGGAAATCATTTTCTTAAAGGGGAAAAAGAGTGAAAATGTGCTGTTCAAACACTTCCCCCCTTCGGATGCCCACGGAGCACTGTCTGTCTGTGCATCAGTTCACGGGGCCTCACCAGGGCTCTGCAGGGGAATAGAAATAGCAGAGAGCTGCCTATTTACTGTGAGAGCAGAGTGTGGGGTGATGGAAGGAACCACAGAGCCCAGTGAGGCTTATTAACAATAACACCCACGTGGCAGAGCCCAAACAGCTCCAGCCCAGTGCTCCATCATCCCCATCCAGGTGGGCTGATAAGCAAAAGTGCCCCATGCTCCCTCAGCAAGTGTTCAGGAAGTGTTTCCCCCTCCTGCTCTGATTGTATACCCTTCACATTCAAAAGATACCTGGCCAGTACATGCCCCTGTTTTTACTTGAGGGGAATAATCCACCAGAGCCACCTCACCACCTTGTGTTGCTCAGAGTGACCTACCACAATGTCAGCACAGCTGATGGCTCAAAATGTGCACACTGTGTCATTTTTGGTGGGTTGGTTTTTTTTCCCTTTGGCAGAATACAGCATTTCAGCTGCAGCCATTGCCATCTTCAGCGTTGGCTTCGCGATCATCGGGACGATCTGCGTCCTCTTGTCCTTCAGGAAGAAGAGGGACTATCTGCTGAAACCAGCATCCATGTTCTACACCTTTGCAGGTACAGGGTGGGAGCTCCCATTCTTGCACCTGGGTCATGGGACAACATGGGGAAACTTAAGATGGACCCTGGGGGGATGGAGACACTTCTAAAAATGCCCTGAAAATGGCATTTCCTTCCCGATCCCTGTGTGGTATGAGAACAGCCTGCTCAGCGAGCATTGCCCAGTCTGTGTTTTCTCCAACTCTCTTTAAAAGGGATATTTCTACCACAATCACTGCCAACCCCAGTCTGAACCAGGGATATACAATATTCAATCTCATTTGTTAAGCCTCAAACCAAAGAAATGGCTGATCCAGGCCCAAAACACACAGCTGTGCCCTGAACACATGAAGACTTGTGTTTTCACATGAGCCAGGAACACCTTGACATGCCACAATGAGGGAAAGACAGAGGTGCAAATTGTCACCTCAATAAAGATCTTACTCAACCTCTGGAAAAGCTCCCCAGGGAATGCAATTATTCCTTCTCCAATTCGAGTTTCCCATCCAAGATCACACTCACCAAGCCACCAGCTGACCTGGGTTAGAGCAGAGCTCTCAGCAGTTCTGAGCACTGGTTCCTCCCAGCGCTGGAGTCAGTGACTCACCTGTGACTCTCACTGCAGCTCCTGCATGGGAACGACACACGAGGTGGTTAATTAGGGATGAAAAATGTGGCAGCTGGTTACTCAACCCACTGCTCCTCTCTCCCTTCAGGTCTCTGCATCATCATCTCCGTGGAGGTGATGAGGCAGTCGGTGAAGAGGATGATCGACAGCGAGGAGACCGTGTGGATCGAGTACAGCTACTCCTGGTCCTTCGCCTGCGCCTGCGCCGCCTTCGTCCTGCTCTTCGTCTGCGGCATCGCCCTCCTCCTCATCGCCCTGCCCCGCTTCCCCCAGAACCCCTGGGAGACCTGCATGGATGCAGAGCCCGAGCACTGATGCTCCCAGCACGGGAAAAAAAAAAAAAATCCAGAAAGTGTTCTGAAAAGATTTGTATTTTTTAAAATGTCTGGGTCCCACTCTACAATGTGCTCTCCATCAAGTGAGTCATTACTGAACCAAGGCATGTTCGATTGTAATTATTGCTTTCCTTTTCTTTTCCTCTCATTTTATCCTTTTTTCCCCCCTCCTTTTCTTTTTTCTCTCTCTCTTTTTTTTTCTTTTTTCTTTCTTCTTTTTTTTTTTATTTTTTTGAAGAAAGCAGAAAGAGCACTCAGCACCATCCCGGGTGTGGGTGAATGGCTCTGCTCTGTGCCAGTTTGGGGTGCCCCGTGCTGATGTAGCTGAGACAGCTCAGGCCACAGAGAACACAGCTTTGCTAGGGAGATGTTTGGTGTGGTTGGGTGCAGATTTGTGAGGGATATCAGGCTTTTATACATTACTTGGTCAGAGAGAGACACTGAGAAACTCTGGCTCCATGAGGAGTCCGTGTCCCCATTTGTGCCGTGCTCCTCTCCCTCCCTAAGAAGGGTTAGTTCATCACTCTGGAATAAGCTGGAGATCCTTACACTCTTCTATTAAACTGCTAAAATTTGAAATGAAATCAAAACAGAACTTTGAGTAGCATTAGGATAAAAATTTCCCCTCCAAATTTACACCCTGCAGTTCCATTCTTTCGAATCAAGCATAAAATCCCACAAGATAAAGAGTTTTTTTTGTTCTGCTTAAACTTCAGCGGCAAAGCCAAGAAGTATTAAACATTAAGAGTGATATTTTCCTTTAATAAAAAGCATAATCTTCCAGTGGCATGATTTTCTGGAAAATTATTTTGATGGATGAATCACTTGGCCCATCAAATTCTGCCAGGTCCAGAACGACACTGTAATTCTGGGTGGTGTTTGCACGGGGCTCTCATTAGTTCCCCCTGAATGGGCTTTTTAACAATACCCTGCTTTGCTCACTGTATCTGAAACTACATTTCAGGAAAAATCCTTCAAAGCAGCTGCCAAGATGGAAAGGACTTTGCCTGGAACACCCAGGAGAGTCAGCCCTGGAAGCACCTCACTAGTGCATCGAGTTGATGCTGCTTGAAGCAGCGCAGACCCGAGGCAGTGCTGGGGGATGCTGAGGGGGCTGGTTTGCTGCTGAGCCCCTGCAGGGCTCTGCCACAGCTGCCTGAAGCACTGGGAGAACTGGGGGGCCCCCAGCCTGGCCACCTGCAGCACTGGGGGTCCTCCAGCCCCACACACTCACCCAGCCCCTCCAGCCAAGCCCTTTTCATCATCACGGTCCCTCAGCACCAGTCGTCTTCTTTTTTTTTTTTTTTTCCTTTTTTTCTTCTTTTACACTTCAATTTCCAGAATCTGCTCAGCATTTTCTCCCCCAAGTCAGAAAAAGTATGAGGTTTACAGTGGACATTTTTCACCCCGTAATTTAAAAATCAGGAGAAAAGGGAACTAAACGTCCTTCCCTCCACATTCAGCTGTCCCCAATCCTAAAGAAAAACAGAATTCATAACAGAAAATCTCTGATCAAGTTGAAAAGATCTGAAATCATGACATGTTCAAGCATTTGGAGAAATTCCCCAGCAATTAAGTGCTGGCCTGAGGGGCCCCACCATCAGCCAGACCCCGTTGGGGTGCACTGAGCCCCAGCAGCCCCAGCCAGACTCAGGCTTGTCTCCATCTCCCCATCAGCAGCGTGGCAGCGAGAACAGAAGCCTTTTGTGAAGTTGCATTAATGTTTTTCAAGCTCTTTGAAGTTGAAAAGCACTACAAATAACACATATATTATGAAGTTTTGGGATGAAGCATTCACTGGTGCTCAGATGTGAGTGTGAGCTGAGGAGCTCTGCCTGTCTCTCATTATGAGAGACAACTGCAAGTCTTCAAGTTGTCACAGAGCCACTCTGAAATGCTAAATGGTTTTGAAATCTTATTTTTGGGTACAGAGCTGACATTCTTCATTTGCATTTTCATTGTTCAGGAAAAGAGAGGCTAGTTTCTAGGGAGATCCTTTACGTGCAACAACAGAAAGGAAAGTAGTTGGTGTGACCCTGCAGTGGCTGATCCCGGGTTGGGACATCCCAACCTACACAAGGCAGGTTAATCCAAGCAGAGCAGCTGGCAGGCACAGCAGCAGTCCCAGCTCAGCCATCATCACCATCTCAGACATGCCAGGGCTTGAGATAAGCAAAGTTTGGGGACATGGGTCTAAGTTCATCACGCCACATGGAGCAGTGGTATGTCCTGCATCCTGGGAAGCACCGTTCCCAAAGTGCCATCCCTCTCCTGCAATGCTTCTTCTGGGAAAAATGATTTATAGGTAGGTTCTTGATGGGCCAGCTTTTTGCCCAGTCAAGATGCTGCTTGGTCCCCCTCATGATATTCAAGAGCAAGACATGAATGTTTGAGATAAACACACCCTGGAAGGTCTCCCCCATCTCGTGCACACTCCCACTTGCACCAGGGCTGACCCACTTCATCCAAGTCCCAGTGAGGGCAACGGAAAGATTCCCAGTAAGTGCTGGGGTTTGGCCTGGACCCAAGGTTTTACAGCCTCTCTGGGCTCACTTTACTCATGAGGCAGAGAAAACACACAGCTCCCAGCAGCAAGATCCTCCACCCACAGCCAGAGCTCAGGCAGCTCAGCAAGATGCCTCCTAAAGCCTTTAAACTCACGGAGCTTTATTCTCCTCCTGCTCCAGGCTGAGGCTTTGTGATCATTCCCTAACTCCATATGGTCCCTGCCAGACTGAGAAGCACATGGATGGCTTCATTTTCTTCTTCCTGATATTAAGAACTGCTGAAGAGGGACCTGTCCATTAAATTGGTCATTGGTATTCACAGTGGGAAAGGCACTGCTCCTGCAGCAGGTTCATTCTGCCACATCGAAACCTCTCTCCCAGAGAGCTGATAATGTGTTTTGAGACTTAATAAAAGTAATTGGTCTTCATAAAGGAAAAAGAATATAATGTTGGAGGGGGGAGCTGTAACCGGCTTCAGTTTTCATTCTCTCAGCTGAACAAATAGCAGGGAACGGCCACCAGAACTTCAGGGATGTACCAGGAAACGTGAAAGAAACTTTCTTGCTGGCAGGGAGTCATCAGAGCCAAACAGGGATGGGGACCTGGTTGCTGCACATCCTACAGGAGCACACGTGGGCTTGGGACATGGCCAAAGAACTGAGTGGGAAACGCAGCAGAGAGAGGGAGAGGTGAACTGATTTGCAGAACAAGTAACAACCACCAGCCACCAAGAAACCCTGAGCGTTGCTCCTGCCACCACCAGACCCACAGACCCCTTTGGTCGTGGGTTCCTTGGGCACGTCCATTTGCCACTCCACAAACCAACATCCCTGCCCAGCCCTTCCCTCAGGGCACCCACACTGAGGTGCCCCAGGGAGAAGAGACACAGGGCTACGATTCTGGTGGCTGAACTCTGCCCACCACCCTGTAAAGCCCGAGTGTTAAATCACAGTCGACGCAGCAGCAGACGCGAAGTTTTCTGTTTATGCAAGGTTTGCTGTGAGGCGTGGAGAGAATCTGCTTCCCTCGTCTTTAAACGCCGTGTTGTGTGAATTTAATGTGCAGAAAAGGTGTCAGACAAACAACCCCTGAAGAAGAAAACTGCCTGTTTAGCAAGCAGGGAGCTGAGCTCTCCACCACCCTTCATCTGCAACGAGGTACTGCAGGAACAGCCCAGCACCGGCAGCGTGGGGAACCAAGAGCTCACCAGGGAGCTCAGATGGGGGTGTGCAGAGAGGATTTCACCCACAAGCCCTGGTACAAACCCCTATTTCTCCCTTAGTCCATGCCTGAAGAGAGCCAGCATATGCAGGATGCTCAGGGGTTTGACCATGCAGTTTACAATGGCACAGGTGGACTCACCTATTTGTTTTTTCACTGATCCCTTTCCATTCTGTCGCTTCCTTGTGGCCATCACCTCTTTCTCCTCACTCTGACAGTTGTGGAAGTGATTCCCAGAAAGTCCCAAAGATCTGGGAACTCTCCCCCCTGCAATGAGACCCTTGGCCTTGCTGCAGAGGGGCCCTTTCTCTCCTGGGCCTGACAGCTCTTGAGGAACATACCTGATACACGAGGTCATCAACACCAGGAGATGCTGTTTGCCAGCCCCGGGGAGGGCCCTGGGGATTAACCCCAAGCCCCAGGGCTCCATCCAGCACTGCAGCTGGACAGTCACATGCCAGGAACCTGACCATGGACAGAAATTTGCAGAATAAACCTCAGTCAACTTCATTTAAAACAAGCTTCCACTTTGCAGGGTGGGACAGTGCCCCTTGGAACACTGTATCACTTTTTAACTTAACTCCAGGAGCATTGGGCTGCTCTGCACCACAACCCACCCACAGCAGTGGGACCTGCTCTAAAAGCATCCCTTCCAATTACCTCCCCTTTCCACTGTCACCAAGGGGCAGGAAAAGAGCACCATGACTTTGTTTTGATTGAAGAAGAGGAGGAGATTTTTCTTGCTTTGTCATCCCTGATGGATGTTCTGGCTCTGGCAAAGCTACTGAACATAAATCCAAGACATACAGACATCACACATGCACACCCTGCATCCAGACACCGAGCTGCTTTGCTGCTCTCTGGGGAAATGCAGAGAAGGGAATAAACTGGGATTTCTGGGCTACTTTCTATGTAATAGGAAGGGCTGCACCCCAGGCTCTGGTTCAGCCTTGTGCCCAGTATCACCAGCTCTCACTGGGAGCACCATCACAGCTTTACAGCTGGTCCTGTGGAGGTATTTACCCTCCAGGAGGGAGCCAAGTCTTAGGGAAAAGGGACTGACAACATCTTCTAACCAGTCTTGGGTAATTCAGATCACAGAGCATGTTCTGTAATTTGTCAGCAGCATCTATTAATCCTTAATGAGGTAAAAACTTCTCAACATCTCTCGACTGAAGTTACCAAAGGAAAAAAAAAAAAAAACCCACACCGAACTGACATTTCCACACTTCTGCTGTAAATTCTTTACTTC